GTCACCTAAGAACCTGCTCTGGCCTTAGGTCTCACCGGGAGTGGACCACAAACTTTGTGGCTCCCTGTTGCTCAAGCCAAATGGCACAATCAGCCTCCACGGCTACCCACTCGCGTAATGCACGGGTGCGACCTAGCACCCGAAGAGCCTGCACGGCCCCTAGAAGCTCCCCTGAGCAACAGCAAACCTCCCAACACACCCCTCCCACACAACCTACCGGCCGGTCCCACTCGCGAGCGCGAGCCAACCAGCAGCTACTGGTTGCCCACACCATCTGCTCCGTGTGCCAGAACAGAATATACCGGAATGTGACATCAGTCAAATGCAACACATGCCTTGGCTGGTGTCACTTCCGGCTATGTTCTGGTCTACGCACCACTCGCGAATGGACTACAAACTACAGCGCCCCTTGCTGTAGTGCACCGCCGACGCAGACAACAACGCCCATATCGCAGCCACCTACCATCAGGCTGCAACAGCAACTGCGTCAGGCGCAACAGGCCCAAGGTAGGCCCCACACTTCTCTGACCCCCCGTATCGCGACCAGCCTCCCAAGGCACATAAACGTACTCCAACTCAACTGCAACGGACTCCAGAGCAAGATTGAGGAGATAGCAGTCTTCATGGGTCGGCACGGCATATTGATAGCTGCGGTCCAAGAAACGAAGTTGCACAGCAACTCAACTCTGTTGGGTTGCGCCGCCTACAATGTGCTCCGTAAAGATCGCGAGCGAGATAATGGTGGTGGACTAGCGTTCATTCTACACCACACAGTGCAGTATCGGCTAATCGAAGAAGACATCGACCCAAGGGACACTACCCTAGAATGTCAGGGCATAGCTGTCCGGTCAGGCGATGTCGAGCTCGAAATATTTAACGTGTACATACCCCCTGTCACCTGCTGCCCGGCTGGATATCTCCCTGACATAGGTGCGCTACTCAGAGGCGAAAACCGATTGGTAGTAGGTGACTTCAATGCGCACCACGATCTTTGGCACTCAAGCCTGGCCAATGATCGGAGGGGAAACAGTTTGGCTGAGCAGATAGACGATTCGACATTCTGCACCATGAACGACGACGCCCCCACCAGGATTGTGGGCAGCTGCAGCAGCTCGCCAGACGTAACAATTGCTAGCGCTGGTCTGATAAATAGCATATCATGGCGACCTATGCTAACGTTAGCATCAGACCATCTGCCCATAATCATCTCGATCAATAAGCCCACCGACTTTGCTCCCGCGGATCACCGAACCTACACCAACTTCAACAAAGCTGATTGGAACGGCTTCGCGGAAGTTACCGAGAGCAGCTTCGCCGCCCTCCCCACACCCACAGACGTACATGATGGGGAACGCCAGTTCCGCAAGGTAGTCACAGCCGCAGCAGCTCGCTTCATACCGTCCGGACGCATCGCGGAAGTCCGCCCAAATTTCCCGGCTGAAGCAGCTGTACTAGCAAATGAGCGTGACCACCTACGCCAGGTCGACCCCGGGGACCCTCGCTTGAGGGAACTTAATTTGGAGATTCGGCAACTGGTAAATCAACACAAGCGGACAAAGTGGGAAGAGCACTTGAATGCCTGTAACTTCACCTCTGGTGTGAGTAAGCTCTGGTCAACCGTGAGGTCCTTGTCCAACCCGACGAAGCGTGATGACAGAGTGGAAATTTCATTCGAAGGTCACGCCTCATCGGACCCGAAGAAATGCGCGAACTATTTCAGTCGGCAATTCACACTGCATCCTTCGGTAGACAAGGCCAAACGTCGAGTGACCAGGAGGCTGCACAAACTGCCCAAAAACGATGCACCACTTGTTTTCACCAGCGGTGAAGTAAAGGGGGCCATCGGGAAGGCGAAAGCCTCCAAAGCCATTGGACCCGACGGAATCTGTATGCTGATGTTGAAACATTTGGGGCCTGTGGGGGTAGCATACCTCACGGAGGTCCTCAATTTGTTTATGACCACTCTCATCATTCCTGATGTGTGGAAATCAGGGAGAGTGGTCCCACTGCTGAAACCGGGGAAGCCCGCCAACAGAGGAGACTCTTATCGCCCGATAACGCTCCTTTCCCCGGTCGCGAAGACACTTGAGGCCCTGCTGCTCCCATACTTCACCTGCCACCTAACCCCAGCGAAACATCAGCATGGCTTCCGTAAAGTGCACAGCACAACAACAGCACTTAACGCCATAAACACCCAGATAACCAGCGGCCTAAATCGAAACCGCCCCTGTGAGAGAACTGTCCTAGTAGCGCTGGACTTGTCAAAGGCGTTTGACACCGTCTGCCATTCCACGCTGCTAGAAGACATTGAGGCCTCCTCTCTCCCACAGGGACTGAAGCGATGGTCGGCGAATTATATGAGTGGTAGGCAATCATCAGTAATCTTCAGAGATCAAACCTCGAAACCTAGAAGAATAAAACAAGGGGTTCCACAAGGTGGTGTTCTCTCCCCCTTACTTTTTAACTTCTATATCTCGAAACTCCCCCAGCCACCTGAAGGAGTTTCCCTGATCTCCTACGCTGATGACTGTTCGATTTTGGCGTCTGGGAATGGAATTGATGACCTCTGCTCAAAAGTAAACGGCTATCTCTCCAGCCTTTCTCGCTTCTTCACTGCAAGGAGCCTAACCCTCTCCCCAACGAAATCAACGGCGACCCTCTTCACCACCTGGACGAAGGAGGTCAGGCTTGAATTAGGCATTCACGTCGACGGCACACCAATACCGACGGTGAACAACCCGAAAATTTTAGGGGTTACCTTTGATAGCCTGCTCTCTTTCTCCGCGCACACAACCGCAGTTGTCAACAAAGTACAGAGCCGCAACAAGGTCCTCAAGTCGCTCGCCGGCAGCACTTGGGGCAAAGACAAAGAAACGTTGTTGGCAACATACAAGGCAATTGGCCGGCCGGTTCTAAATTATGTTGCGCCAGTTTGGACGCCGGGGACTAGTTGGACGCAGTGGACGAAGCTACAGACTTGTCAGAACGCCGCACTCCGGACAGCGACCGGGTGCCTTCTGATGACGCCTGAGCATCACCTACACAGTGAGGCCCAAGTGCTCCCCGTAAGGGAACACAACAAGATGCTCTGTAAGCAGTTTCTTGTGGGGTGTCACAGAAGTGAACACCCCAACAGACCACTGCTGGAGGAGGAGCTTCCGCCCAGGCACGTCAGGGGGCACCTATTCATGTACAAGGACGCAGTCCAGACCTACACAGACCAACCACTGGACCCAATGACGTACAGACGAGCGATTAACGACATTCATAGGGAGTCTGTCTCCACCTACCTCGACTCCCGGCCTAGGAATGTCGTTATCGGAGCCCAATCACCACCTGTGGAAGAGACGGAGCTTCAGTTACCTAGAGAGACCTGCGTTACCCTGGCTCAGTTACGGTCTGGATATTGTAGCCGCCTAAACAGCTACCTGTCCAGACTCGACCCAAACATCCCAAATGAGTGCCCGGCATGTGGAGACTCCCCCCACGACACCAACCACCTCTTCACATGCCAGCTCAATCCGACTCAACTAACACCTCTCTCCCTTTGGTCCGACCCCATCGAAACAGCTCGTTTCCTGGGCCTACCGTTAGTTGTGCTTGACGATAATGATTAAAAGTTGACCCGAAACAGGCGGGGCTTAGTAGTGCCGCTACAACAACAACAACAACGTAGAATATTCGTCAGCAAGAAACGGCAAGTGGAGGAATACTGCGAACAGCGAGAGAATGCGTGATAGACGGCAGAACGTTGTAGAGTTGCCATGAGTGCGAGTGCAGGTATATAAGGCCGCTGCTACAGCGCACCAGAAGTTCAGATGCGAATCAGCAAGCTACAACTTCAGATGTAAAACAGAGCTCAGTTTTGTTAGCAAGTTTTTTAAAGCGTTGCGATTGCTTTAAAGAACAATAAAGGTAATTGTACTGTAATTTGGTCATCTTGAGCATTTATTTGACAATAGTTATACGAACCGAGAGGATTTTTTGGAAATCCGTCAAGTATTCAGGCATAATCATTACAAAATAAATTTTCAGTAAATATTTATGAATTCTTTAGCCTGAAGGTCCTGTACATACACAATTTAAATTCAAGACCGCATTTTTGTTTAAATTGCTTAACTTCGACAATTTTTATGTAGGTGCATTAGCTGAGGTATCAATTTATTCCAAAATAAATGTACTTTCAGATAAATACTACATATTTGGCAACTTTCATAGACATTTTTATAAGCTTTTATTTAACTTGGTCATTTTAAACTAACTTCCCGACAAGTTAGAGACTTGAAATTTTCATCATAGTTCCAATCACGATGACAATGCAATTTAATATATAAATGAATTCCCCATATGGTCCAGGGGTCTTGATTCAAAGGCGGTCAAAAAATAGTAAGATTTATGGCTAACAGAGCGTAATTTGTCAAAGAACGTAAAACCACTATAAAATTGTTAAAGCTGCTGGCGATAGTGTAGCAAAGCTATTTGTGGCAAATTCTAGATATCAACCTAGTCTAGATATGTAGTGCGATTCCCATTTTTCTTAACAACAATATTCGTATCGTTAACGATTCCGACAAGTTTCGTAGCTTTGACAGTTGTCTAACGAAATTTGTCGATAACCTAGCTACGAATATTTTGTCGTTGAGAAGCCTACCGATAAAATTGTTTCAAGTTTTTATTGAGAAAAATTAGGCCAAATTCATCGGTAAGCAAACTATTATAATAAAAAATAACTAATAAATAAAAATGTATCACATATAGATATGCTTTTTATTATTGTTCCTTTTATTTATTACACTGTGCAAGTTGAAAACATTGGCAAAGGTTTTGAAAGTTGATCTCACTTAATTGGGGCACTCTAAATTTTGTCAGATTGGCTCCAGTTTTCGAGATAACGATACTTGAACATTTGCTTCAATTTTAACTTGTTTGTAAATAAATCAGTTTTAGTGTTGTTTCTATAAAATGTTGAACATGACTATTTTTTATAGTGAAGGTTATTTATTTATTTATTTATTTAATTTATTTAATCAGCATATTTTGCAAAATAAATTTGCAAAATATAATGTCAGCACCGGACGTCTAGGTCATTGAGTGCCATTGTTGATGTCGCTTTTAGTTAGATTTGATTATTGAGGTGATGAATTTCTAATGCTTTTTCTATTACTTCGATGTTGCTATTGTTACAATCCAGGATGTTTTTAATGCTTTTATTAATCTTCGAGTTTGGGCATACTGTAAGTATGTGCTCTATCGTGAGTGTTGTTGCACAAAATGAGCAAGATGGTGGTTGAGTTCTGGTGAAGATGTGGGCAGTGTTAAAAAGGGCAGTTCCAGTCCGAAGCCTAGCTAATTTGATGCATTGACTACGTGATAGTTTTGTGTTGTAGTTGTCCCTGGAAGTTGCGGCTTCTATTTGCAGAGCCTTTGTCGTTCTTAATATGATGCTCGCATGGCATGGGACTTCTGGTATCAGGGGAAACTTAAAACATTCTTTGGCGGCTTGGTCGGCTCTTTCGTTGCCTACTATTCCAGTGTGTCCGGGGACCCACAGAAGTTTTATTGGTTGCTTTAGAGTATCCTCTGACACGAAACTGTGGGCTTCATTGCTTTTATTTGCAATTACATTGAGGGCGCTAAGGCTGTCTGAGCAGATAATTGCTTTCTTATCAAGACTTGCGGCAAAGGATATTGCGTATTTGATTGCAGTTAGTTCGGTGCAGAAAATGCTCGCATGCATTGGGAGCAAAGCTTGATGGACCACCCTGAATTGCCCGCCCCTTTCCTGAGCCACTACGGCATAAGATGGGGTGTCGCATGTTACCGATCCATCTGTAAATATTATTAATTGTTGGTCTGTATCATTGATGATCTGAAGAAAGCTTTGGACATATGCTTCTCGTGTATTTAAGATCTTTTTTGTTGAGTGTAGTGATGTATCTATCGTAATAAGATGTGTTGTATCTTTTTTGTTTTTAGACGGTTTTGCTGGAATAGGGATGTGAGCGTCATGTAGCATTTGTGTTATTCTTTTTAAACTGCATGTTTTGTGTATGGGTACACGATCGTTTACTATTCTGTCGAGAAAATTCCAGATGATATCGTGAAGTGGATGCTCATAATTGGTAATGGATTTCGCGGATAGATTTGAGGAATTTTTAAACCTCAGACTTTGAAAATCTGTGATTCGCGCTTCTATTTTGAGCGTGGGAATGGGAGTTGTTTTAAGTAGTCCAGAAGCTGTTCTGTAGCATTTATATAGTTCGGTATTAAGTGTTTTGATATTTTTGTTGGACGTCCAGCCGTATAGTGTGATGCAGTGTTGTAAAATACCTTCAGTGAGTGTACGACAAATAGCAATTGCGGTGTCTATGTGTGGGCCTTTTCGTTTAGTGCACATGACTTTGAGTACATTGTTGACTTTCTTAAGCTTGTCTTTTAGGACATTAATATGATTGTTCCACAACATATTTTTTGAAAACTGTATTCCTAGTATTCTCAAGCTATTTTGTAAAGGTATTCTACGTCCTCGAATAAGGATTGAACTGGCATTGCAATTATTTTTCCGGCAAACATGGAGGGCTGTTGTTGCTTCAATGGGTACTGAGGCGCCTGTGTCCATGGCCCACTTATTTATATTTTCGTCCAATTTTTGCAAACTTTGCACGACCTCTTCATGTGTTCCAGACGCAGCTGCAAAGATATTGTCTGCATATATACCTATATACGAAATACCTTGCACATTCTTTATCTGCTTTAGTAAGGAGTTAGCGTAAAACGTATAAAGTACTACTGAAAGAGGCGAACCCTGTGGAATTCCGTTTTCTAGTTTCCTTTCCTTTGAAAGGTATCCGTCGACTCTGGCTGTAATCCTTCGATACGAGAGGAAGGAGAGAGAGAGCTTAAGGATATTCATCGGTAGTCCACATTTATGCATTTCTTTTATTACTTCCGTAGAAACTACTCTATCGTATGCTTTTGCCAGGTCTGCTGAAAAAACGACCGTATGTTCTCTGCTTAAGTACTTCAGTTGTCCTTCTAATGTATGTGTAAGAGTGTGTACTCCATGTTTGGGGATGAATGCATGTTGTTCTGCTTCCAGCTTATTGCTGAAGCTCCTCCATATTCTGTTGGCTAGAATTTTATCAAAAGTTTTCGCTAATGTGGGCAAGAGGGATATTGGACGGTACCCTTCAAGAGAGTTTGGGTTTTTTCCGGGTTTTGGAACGGGAGTAAGGATTGCATGCTTCCATCCATGTGGGTATACTCCTGTATCTAAAATACGACTAAATAGACTGCACATACGGGATTTTAGGGTGATGGATGCGTTCTTTAACATTGAATAGGTTATTTTGTCATGGCTGGGAGTGGTTCCTTTAGAGGTTTTGAGAGCTGCCTCAAGTTCTTGGAGCGTAATATTTTGGGTTACTTGCTTCGACTGTGGCGTTTGTGGTAAATTCTCTACAATCAAGGAATTTTTTTGGTCAATGATAGTTGACTCAAACGACTCATTCGAGCTTGCTGCGCTCCAATGTGCTCCTAGGGCTTCAGCAATCTGTTCCGGGTGCTTGAGTACAGTATTGGCAGTTAGTATCTGTGGGAAACAGGAGAAACGTTGACATTTGATCTTTTTGATCTTATGCCAAAGGTGCTTTGGATCGAGTGTGGGATTAAGCGAGTTTAGAAACCGATTCCATGAATCTTGTTTGGCTTGTTTACATGCACTTCGTACCGCAGCACATGATTTCCGAAATTCTACGCTATTGTGAGCTGTTTGGTTCTTTTTAAACCGTTTCCATCTCTCGTTTTTGACTTTAATAAGATTTGCAATCTGACTGTTGAACCAGACTGGGCTATTGTGCTTAGGTGCTGAAAAGGTGGTGGGCATGGCTTCGTTTGCCGCTTTCCTCAAAACTTTTTTTATTTGGGCGGCTTCTCTGTTGATGTTAACTGATTTAGTGAAATTTTGTGAGTAGACGTTAGTTTTATTTGTAAATAGATGCCAATTTGCCTTGTTAGTATTAAACCTGGGGTTGATTCTGCTGTTGATGTTCAGCATGTTGTTGAAAATTAGGATTGGAAAATGATTGCTAGACCCTGACGGAGGAAGACAATTCCATGTCAGAACCGGAGCTATACCTCCGCATGCCATTGAGACGTCAACGTTTGTTAAAGTATTTCTCGTGTTTAGCAGTGTGGGAGATCCGTTGTTGAGAATTACAAATTGTTTATCGTTTGCAAAGTCTTCCCATAATTTTCCGTTCTGATTTGTTTTCTTTGCACCCCACAATGCGTTATGTGCGTTTAAGTCACCACCCAGTAAATGATATCCGTTATGGTAGGTGTGTATGTCGTCCAGGTGTTGAGCTGTTAAATATAAGTCTATCTCGCGGTATATGTTGGTTATGTGCAGGTCTTTTAACGCGTGTATGGTGATAGATTGAAAGAGAAGATTATTGTTAGATATTTTGTAATTAGAAGTATTCAAAGTCTCCTTTACGAGGATTGCAATACCCGCTTTGGAATATGAGTACGTTTTGTTGAAGTGATACACTTTATAATGTGGAAGATGTAAGAGGTGTTTATTTTTTCTATTATGTGGGTTTCTTGTAACATAATAATGTCGGGTTTATGTTTGGTTACGAGTAGCTCTAGTCCGAACTTATTGTTTAGAAATCCCTGTATATTCCATTGAAGAATTACGAGACTGATACCTAAATCCATAATTATTGTTATTATTTTTTTAAATTATTTTATTTTTATTGTTAGTTGTCTATAATTTAGGCTCTTCTTCGGAGTCCGAGACAGACATAAAATATTTGTCTGCTGATAGAAGTTGCTGAGTTATATTGCTGAGTGGAGATGCGCTAGTGTTGGTTTGTGTGTTGATTGGTGCTTTGCTGAAGTGTGGTAGTATACATTCAAGTGAAGGGTTCGTTGTTGTTTTCTTAATGCTGTTGTTTGCATTTTGGTTCGTATTGTTAGTAACTTGGGTAGTTGTCCTTTGAATAGCGGTGACGTTGTCGGTTTTGCTTTTGTTTGGAGACGTATGAGTTTTTGGTATTTTGGTCGTATTGGTTTTTGTTGGTGAAGCAGATCGTTTGGATGTTGTTATTGTTGGTGTATTTGATTTGTTAGTTTCTGATCGGCAGATGTTGGAATATGTTTCTTGAGGTTTTTGTACATGATTTAAACGTTCGCTATATTTGCGGCGGGCTTCGCCCATCGAGCACTTTTCGATTGTTTTTATTTTTAAGATTTCTTTGGTTTGCTTATATCTAGGGCAGTCTCTGTCCGAAGAGAAGTGATCTTCGCCACAGTTTGCGCACTGTTTACGTGTACATTCTGTTGGGGAATGGGGTGGTAAGTTGCATCCATCGCATGTGCTGGGGTTGGTGCATCGGGTTTTTGTGTGGCCAAGAAGTTGGCAATTCTTGCAGCGCATCGGGTTCGGGTAGTAAGGGGAAACTTTTACCTTGTACCATGCTATGTCCAGAGTTTTTGGAAGATGGTATAAGTCGAAATTGACTGCCATTTTTCCAGTGGGCATTGTTTTGCCATCGAGTGTGCGAGTGAATTTGTAAATGCCTGATACTCCCTGACTTTTTAATTCTTCGACGATCTCTTCTTCTTTTACGAAGTTGAGACATGGGGCATAAATCATACCTTTTACCGTGTTAAGGTTTTCTTGCAACTTGACCGTGATAGGGCACACGTTTGATAGAGTTTTAGTTTTCAGAAATTTATCCGCTATTTTCGAATTTCGTGCTAAGACAAGTAAAGAGCCGTCTTTTAGTTGTTTGATGCTATCTATTTGGGTTGATATCGCATCAATACCCTTTTTTATTATAAACGGGGAAAGTTTTGCTAATTGGTTGTTAGTTGATGATATTGTCAAGTATTTTGGTTGGTTGATTGCTGTTTGTTTTTGGTGTAATGTAGGGAAAATGTGGGTGTCGTATGTATCCATTTCGCTAAGCATTGAGAAGCGATTTGTTGTTTTGTCCGGTGGTTCAGGTGTTGGTCGCATTTTATGTGTGTATATATGTGAATGTAGCGGTTTTTTGTATAGGACGATGCACTTGTTTGTTACTACGAAAGTGTAATAAAACGGAGGAGTGAACACTGTGTATGATTGTTGTTTGTATTATTTATTCGCAACTGACAATGGCACTTGCTAACACGTCCGAACCGGTTGATAGTTAGTCGTTGACTGAATGAAAACATGATAGTGAAGGTTATATTAAAAAATAGTCACGTGAAAAAGTTTGGTAAAATGACTTTAACGGACTTTGTTGGAGTTATTTATAAAAAAAAAAACTTTAAATTTAAGGAAATTTTCAAGTAACCTTACGTCGAAAACTAGAGCCAAAGCTGAATTTTTAGACGTGGAAAGCATAATGTCAAAATGATGTGTTTGTTGTAATTCATACTGTAATTGTGCGTAAATTTGTAATTTTTTACTTATATACGGCTTATACCCCCTTATTAAATTCGCCTTGCACCAGGCCATTATTGCCAAATAAGCAGCCCAGCATCCTATGGTACTGCTCCGTAGTAGCTCCTGCTCTTCTTTTTTTCATATTGTATTCACAAACAACAATCCCGACACAATAAT